CAGTTCATTCATATACTCCTACCCAGAAAGTGTATTTTTGTCACATTAACCTTGTTTGCAACACCGAGTGACCATGAGATAGACAACTCTTTCAGAGCCAGTCCAATGAAGAGTCAATGCAAATGATTCGATATTATGTAAATAAGTCAAACGACAAGTTAGTGCATTTATTTTAAAACAAATGACCGTGACCGACCTTTATGAATTAAACGATCCATTGTTTGGTATTGTTCTACTTTACTTTGTGTAGCTCCAATTCCACTTGTCAAGTCCGTTCAGATGAGGATCGATAAATATGCTTAAATGTGATTTCAGGTGTGGTCAGAGGTTGATTCCAAAAAGGAATAACAGACGGTTTAATTTGATTTCATTACACACCGCTATGTGACGGACAGCAGGCGGAGTAAAGTCCACGGTCACGAGGACCTGCTGTTCACTGGTGCAAGCCGGCAACTTAAATCCCGGGAATGGGAGTGGCGAAACACATACGGTGAAATAGAGTACCGAGAATTATACAGCTGTTCGACTTTTGGATCTCATCAGCAATGCGAATCAACTAAACACATTGGGGATAAAGCTGCGGACTTCACGGGAAGAACGGGAGCATTAAATCCTAAATGGCTCAGGCTTGAAGGTATCCTACGAACTAATAACTCTGGAGGATTGCGCTGGGAACAGATGTTGGATGCTCATAATAAGCTCGAAAAATGAGTTGGGATACATTAAATACAGAAAAATTGAGAAATGATCTGACCACGTGCCCAGCGGTCAAGTGGGTAATCTGCTTGTGTTGTACCTGTGAGATCCCGGGTTAAATCCTCAGTTGGGCCGATGGATTCACACTGCTGGTGAGGATCAACAAAGTTGCGACAGCCAAACAATACTTCCTAGCTCATCAATTTTCCTTTGCTCAACTAGGTATACGAAGAAGTTGGTGGTGGTTGTCGAGTGATTAAGGTGATCGAAATATCTTGCGTTCTAATCCCACCTATCTTCCAGCATTTTGGTATTCCTCAAGGCAGCCTTCACATGACCGCGGCCTCATGTCTGAAAGTTGAATGTACATTTGTAGAGTCAATAAATAGAAATGGAAGTAAAGGCATTTATTCCCGCCACTACTCTTAATACCGTTGGTGATCAACTGACTCTGTGTGAAGCTGATGTATCCTCAAGCAGGGGTTAGTTACTTACAATTTAATCGGATATAACGGAGTAAAAGATGGTGCTGATAAGTTGATAACCAGTGGATTGATAGAGCCTTAAACAGCAATTGAGATAGCCTCAAACAAAACGCAAGGAAGGCCAAATCCGTTCCGTTGCGCTGCAGTGAATTTGGATATTTACTTGAGTTATTCGTTCACAGAAATGCCAGTAGCGAGGAGCTTTTGTTACACAGGCCAGTGTTTCGTGTCAGGGGGTAAATAAAAGGATCGATGTAATTTTATTTACACCGTTGGTAAAATTGTGGTTAAGAGCACTTACATCCACCCGGTTCACCCCAGCGACCAGTAGAATCACGTACAATGTGCTTGTCTCTGGCCCGAGCACACACTGTGAGCAATGCATTGGGACTGTTTGATAAAAAACGACAGGGACGCGATGAGCTGAGTGAAGATGGATAACTACATGGCAGCACCACCAAAGTTCTTAGTATTATCGTTTGCATGAAGTCCTGGCAAACAACAGAACAAAACATTTTAGGAACAGGAACCGTCGTATTTATTGTTGATTGCTAATATGATTTAATCGGACTATAAATGCCGGAAAAAACACAGAAATAAATGTGTCCCACAACACAACGTATAATTTGAATGTATGTGGTTTTCCGCAATGAAATTAGGAATCCCCGTTATATAATTGATTTGCCCCTGTAGGTAAGACCTAGATCAGTCTACCGTTTGTTTATCTTTTATTGCATTCTTATAAATTTCTATTCTGCCAAGCCCAGTGTATAAGCATCCAGGCAGATGAAAAAATAAATCCCAATCCATCGATAAAATGCTATAAAACAAGGAATAGGTGAAATCGTTAAGATCGCAATGTTGCAGGAATCACTCTGGTGGTGAACATAACATGATGTACAGCACAATTATTTCATCCCAAATATCACGGATTGGAAGTCCATCACCGTCGCCTAACTAACCGGTTTAATTGTGTTCTGCCAAAGTCTTTTTTTTCCAAAACTAATAATACAATACAATAAAGAATGAAGGAAAAGAGGGACATGCAGAAAGGTGACAACATGATGCGGGGAAGAGGTGTATGTGTTGTTGCTTTATTAGGTATCACTGTTGCTCGTTTTGTGTTCGCCAGGCTATTGTTCGGTTTAGGAAAGTTTTCCCTTAAAGCTAGTTAACAGTTTGTGGAAAAACAAATAAAGCAAATTATTCCAATTGTCACGGGTTTTTATTGGTTATCTTCTAGTATGGTGCTTATGCGAGGCACGAATAGAAACCTCTGAAACTGCACAAGAAGCTAGTAGAATAAACAAACACCCAAATTGACGGCACAAATGGCAGGTGATAGTAAGTAGCTGTTTAATTATTAACTGACAGTGATTTATGAACAGAAATAGAAATCGGCATTTTTCAATAATAGTTACCAATAATAATAATAATAATAATAATAATAATAATAATAATAATTTCCAAGATACCACCGAACGAACGACCCAATAACCATGTAGTTCCATGCAAAAGTTATACGATCCCATAATCCAAACAATGAAGACTGCCCAACAATTTATTGGTACTAAATAAAATTCGATCCGATGGACTCACTGATGCAGCTGTTCGGCTGCTTGCAGTAGACGATGTCGAGGAATAGGCAAACGTTCAATGGAACCCTTCGTAAAGCGCATATGTAGCAGATCCAATATACCACGACGCCGCAGGCGCTACAAAGCATAGAATGCAAGTACAGACACCATTTATGAAGTGAAGTAGGGACACTTGTATTTAGGATAATCAGAAGCAAGGCTTTACTGGTCAAAAACCTTTATTCAATACATTTTTGTTTTTTATTCCCTCTCAAGGAACTTTCCTATTTTATTAACATTTAGTTATACATACATATGCCTGGCATCTTGTCCTTTTGACGGGGTTATATATACACTCATACCGCCGGCTGTTTCATAATTATTTTCCCATTTTCTTCGATGCGTTGCAGCTAACTTCATCTTGAGATCTTTTCCACAAAAAGTGAGTGAACACTAGCTGAATGGTGAAGACTTACCGAGACGACATTTGCAAGTTTTAAAATTTTTTGCTCCTCAGTGAAAATATCCCACAGGCTGAGGGCGCCTTGCATCTGATCACGGATCCATAATACTGACATAAACCTAAAAATACACAGAACCATCTATAAAATGTATACGTACATATACATCTATTTGAAAAAGGCCAGTAGTGTTATGCCTGATGTCTACTGCAGGGACATTTTCGCATATCAGTTACTTCATGCGAATTATAAATGGACATTATATATGTTTATGGGGTATGGCGACAAACGGATGCAAAGGCGAGATTCACGAAAATTGTTCACAAGACAGCGCAACTAGTTCATCAACACTTTTTCTTTTAATCCGAATACAGATGAGTGGAATGGGTGAGGATGACATGTTATTTGTATGTGTTTCAGTAGGTATAAGGCTATTTAGAATACTTGTCAACGAACTTTGCAGGATAGCCGTTGTCCAACAGTGTTTCATAGAGAATAGTTGTGTCTTTGTGAACTTTGCCGTTCGTGGCGATTTGGCGTGCTCGATTAAACAAGGTTCGTATCAGTCCACGCTTGTAGGCTATCGGGGTAAAGCTTTTAAAATGCATGTATTGTCCTAACCAAGTTTTCTTATGGTAGGTACTTCTAGCTAAAGACCCGTCGTTCTATGAGCATGTCTAAGAATGGCGAAACTCTATTTGTTTCCCTTCCGGTCGTAAATTTGATATTTGTATTTTTTTAGGTGTTGGTTTCATTCATCTGCCGGTTACTCTCATAAATCAGAAAAACATCGCCAACATAGCACCTATAGACGCGTACTTCTTTTAGAATTGTATGCAACCTATCCTCAAGGTAACCGATGAGAATATTAGCCAACAGATCCTAGAAGGCTTCCCAAAAGCACTCCTTCTACTTGTTCACAATATTTGCAATCAAATACAAATTGAATATGTGATGTGTATAAACTTAGCAGTCTACATAATTCCGAAAGTGATACTTTAAGATTTACGTTGTGCTCGGCTGCCATTCTTTGACGTGCTCATAGAACGACGGGTCTTTAGCTAGAAGTACCTACCATAAGAAAACTTGGTTAGGACAATACATGCATTTTAAAAGCTTTACCCCGATAGCCTACAAGCGTGGACTGATACGAACCTTGTTTAATCGAGCACGCCAAATCGCCACGAACGGCAAAGTTCACAAAGACACAACTATTCTCTATGAAACACTGTTGGACAACGGCTATCCTGCAAAGTTCGTTGACAAGTATTCTAGACAGCAGGGACAAAGATGCAGTGCTAACT